TATGCCTTTGGATTTATCAGGGCTCTGGGGATAACAGACTACAGGCTGGATACCCAAACTGCTATTGTTTGGTACAAAAACAAAGCTGGCAGTGCTGTGTTTAGGGTATTTCTGACATTTGCAGTTTTACGACAGTATTTGATGATGGCTTTCAGAGAGGCATTTTCAAGAGATCAGAACAAAAGGGGCATTACACCAGTAATCCATTGCTTCTCCAAACTTTGTGCTCTAAAGCTTCCCCATTAAAGAATATGGTTGGTGTTTTTATTGGATTATTTATCTATTTTTTTATAAATTGTTTTTGCGTCACGGTCATAATGGAAGCTTGGGCAGTATCAGCACATCACTGGAGGGATATCTGAAGCTACAGTTTCAAGAAAAAGACTAGTAAAAAAGTGTGGTCTGATCTTCATAGTTCACAGTAATAGTCAAACACGACCCGACTACAATGATGACACACAAACTCGCTTGTGTGCTTTTAATGTCTTTACTGAATAAAGTGACCAAACAGTCCCGGTGCCGGCTGAAAAATTTGTCCACATAAATGGAAAAAAAAATGTTTGTTTTGGAGAGCACTCATTTTATTTGGCATGTCCTTCCATTAACATCATTTTTATTCTGTGTTTTTCTTATACTGGGCACATGAACACAGATTTTAGCATCTCTGTGCAAGAAGAATAATTTCTTTGCTGTTTTTGTTTTTTTCTTTTGCCAATGGGGTTATTTTTTACTTCTTTCATGGTCTTTGCAGGACACCAGCTCCTAGGGAGAGTCATAAGATCCTGAAGTTTCCCACTCATTGCTCTTTTGTCTTATTCTGGATTGATGAACAAAAATGGCTTTAAACATGCTTTTTAGGGTCATTTCCATCTTTCTGTTTCGGTATAACACTTTTTCTAAGATCATATAAAAGACTGGTTGTTCACCCCAAAGAATCTTTTTTAAAAGCAGACTTCAATAACCATTCTTTGTAAGCCATTAGTCATAGGGAGGGACACTTTGACGACCCACACCCCTAATTCCTAATCACAACACATGACTCTAAGCAGACATTGGAAGAGACATTAGCATAGAGGTTACTTTTTCCAGCCTGCACTGTGTGATTACTCTGTGTGTTCAATAAAAACAGGAAAAGTACAGCTAATTCAGTGTTATTTGTTTTGTCCGATTGTGTTTGTAATCGCGACTTAGTTCAAGACTCCGTTTTACAGGCAATGAAAATGATCAGGATTTTTGTGCATGCAAAACTGAAGAAAAATATTCATCAGCAAGCACTGGGAACAGTCAAAGCTGGTCAAATCTGCTTC